ATAACGATGGCAACAATAAGTGATATGTTTGTAAAAAAAAAAGTCGGATTCAGATCCAAAGCTTTAACAATTCCAGTATGTTTTGTTTTTTTGGTTGTTACTGTGGAACTAATTATAGCATTGTACTTTCAATTTACATTGCTATGATCTTTAATTTTGTATAAAGACACTCCAGTAGGCCGGACATTCGGTATTCATATTTATCATTTATTTTCCTGTTTATTTGTATTCCATTTGATTATAAAAAGTTTTATTGAATCTGAAAAGTTATATCATATTATTTGATATATTTGTACTTTGCTTATAAAAAGTTTTATTCAATCTGAAAAGTTATATCATATTATTTGATATATTTGTACAGGATTACTTAAAAAACAATGTAAAAAACAATGTGAACATATAAGATTTGTTTTGAAAAAACAATTAAATGAATAATTGGTTATTCGCATGTGTTAAATTATAACTGCATATATTATTTTACAAAAATCCTATTCGCTTACAATTCTATATGGTTTAAATTTTCTTGCAGCAAAATGAATATAGGGAATAAAGTTTACCTAAAAAACATTGAACAGATAGATGAAAAATCACATATCAATGTTCGGGTGCTTAAAATTTGGAACTTTGTCAAAAATAATAAAGTTTGTTCAATTGAAATGATCCTGATGGACGAGGAGGTTTGTTTTATTTTGTATATTTTTTATACTTCATTTAATATTACATATGCTACAAAAAAAAATTGTATTTATTTTATTTAACAGGTACACAATACCATGCTCGTGTCTTCAATCAGAATTTCTCCAGATTTCGTCATCTTTTAAAGGAAGATGAAACTTATATCATTCTAAAACCCAATATGGTTGCTGTTATTAATGGTTTTAGTTATACAGGTCATAAACAAACCTTAACTTTAGATTGGAAAAGCATTATTAAAAAATGTGATGATTTCTCGCGTCCGGTAAATGGATTTAAGTTTGTTGATTTTAATTCTATCATAGAACAAACATGTCCAAGAGACATATTTTTTGGTTAGTTAATTAATTTTATTTTAATCATTTTTTATCACTTGTGTTCTTGGTTATACATTTTAGTATTTAAATATTTTAATATTAATGCAATAGTTTATCTTGTGTTATTTCTTATGTAGATGTTATTGGACAGATTGTGTCATTTAGGCCTCTTGAAACTTCAAATCCTGTAACATCCAAGCATTATATAAACTCACTCTTAGCAACCTAGAGTGAGTTTATATTTTTTTAATTTCTTTATTATCTTTAATTAATCACAATTTAGTATTAATAATTAATTTCATTGTTTATTTAGTTCTGTACATCTGAAGGTTACTATTTTTGGAGCTCAAGCATATCAGATTTCAGAATACCTAAAAAATAACCCCACGGTTAATTGTGTTGTTATAGTGATGCAGTTTTTGAAGCTTAACATTTGAAATGGTTTGTATTCACTCTTTATATATACATGTTTATAGTTATTGTTTTTCTATAATTTTTATTAATTTCCTATACTATTTTTACAGGAATTGGTGAAGCTAAAAGTCATTTTAAAAGTAACGAAATTGTTCATAAATTCTGACATTTTCGAAATTAATGAATTTAATAAAAAGTTAGTTTCTAATTGTTTTTTATTTTGTTATAATGTATTTTAACTTAAACTAACACAAATGCTAATATTTTTGAAATTAATTTAAACATTATAGATTGAAAGATGACAAAGCTATTCTTCTTCATATACAGATGACTTTAAAGGCAATTTTCCATTAAAACCAGTTTGTGAGATCACCGAACCACTTAAGGTATGTTGCATTATTTGATATGTTTTAAATTTTATTTTTGCAGAATTTATTTTAATAACTTTTACATTTTATTTGATACAGGAAATGAAGTTTTTATTAGTTGCTTCCATTGTTAATATAAGGCAGAATCTACCATGGTATTATGAAGCATGCAACAAATGTGGAAAAAAATAACCCCTGTTCCCAAAGCCAATCATTCGTATACCGACCCTGAAAAAATTTCAGAAACTGTTGTTGTCGAGTGTACAAATCCAAGTTGCAAAAAATCGGATTTTCATATAGTTATCAAGTAAACACATATTTATTTATATTAATTGATTCAATCTTTCAACAAAATTAACAATGACCTAATTTTTTTATTTTAGGTATATAATTCCAATCAACGTACAAGATTGTACTGGCACCATTGGATTGACTCTTTTTGATAGGGAAGCAAAGAGGTTGTTAAATACAAGTGCATACGAGTTGAAAAAGATACATGAAGCGGTATATTATTCATAACTTATAATCAGAAAACAATTACTTTTTTTTTAATTTATTAAAATTCATCTTACAGGCCGGAGATAGTGATGCACTATTTCCAATGCAACTTAACGTGTTGAAAAACCGCAAGTTTGGTTTTCTTGTAGATATTACAGAATACAATGTCAACAACTATAATAATATCTACATCGTTTTCAAAGTTACAGAAGATATGTCCATTGTTTCTGAATTGGAAAGTAAAATAGAACTTATGGTACATAACCTTTTACTGTTAAACATTTATAATTTTGTACTATTTAAATACATAACGATTAACATATTTCCATTTTATTTTCTAGAGTGTTCAATCTGTCTCCTTAAATCAAGTGCCTTTGGAATCAGATGATGTTGTACAGACTGTTCAAAAGGTTTTCTAATTCCTTTTATTAACTTTTGTTTATATTAAATTGTTCCAATTAAATAATTATTTTTTTAAAAAAAAATTAGGATGTGATCTCACAAACAGATGAAAGTTTTACACCCTCAACAGTTGATAAATCAACTGCAACAAGTCCTAGCAAAATATCAACTGATTTGAAGCGCAACCTTCAAGAAATTTATGACGTTGATTCTGGAGATGATTTAAGTTCAACTAAGGCTAAAAGAAAATCAATCGGAGAGGAAACTCCACTCTTAATTCCAAAATTGGAGAAGTGAGTTGGTTTTGGTTATTACACACATTTAATATATTTTGGGAACTTTATTTGGTTTTAAAGATATTTTGATTGTTTGGTATGATTTCTATTTTTGGATATTTAGGATGTCAATTACTATTGGTTTTGGATATGTTTGAATATTTTTATTCTTTTAAAGTAGACAAGTGATTTGGTTTTGGTTTTAACACAAATTTAATATATTTTGATGTTCATTTGCTTTTAAAGATATTTTGTCTTTTTCGTATTATTTTTATTTTTGGATATTTAGGATGTAAAAAATTATTGGTTTATTGACGTATTAATGTATTATCAAAATACATAATTTCACAGTACAAATTCATGATATCAAAATTACCATTACTAATTGTTATGTTATCTAATTGTAAGTTGAAGGGGCAACTTCGGTATAAATGTTGTGTTTCACTACATTTTTTCTTATTTAGTGAAAATACAAGTCTTTAGTTTATGTATACATTTCTAAAATTAGTAAGTTTTAGACTAATTTACATTTTTGTTTCCTGATTTTAGTTGAATTGTCGATTTTGGTCCCAAAAAAATATCGGTTGCAGTTTTTCTCCTTATTTTATTTTAGTATTTCATTATATTTTGACCATTGGTCATCTATGTTAAGAGCGTATGAGTTATTATTGTCCATGTTTTGGTATAAATATTTTTATTCTCTTAAAAGGGCAATTTCGGTATAAATGTTGTGTTTCAATTCGTAATCAATTTTATTCTCTTAAAAGGGGCATGACATGTCTGACACTACATCTTAAGGCTGGTTAAAATGATTGATTATTTTTATGTTTAGTTCAATAATTTTTTAGTTCGTAAAAGGAGATATACACCACATACTATTTGTGGTCCCATGTCAAATACATGTAAAATGATTGCAATTATCATCTTGCCTTCCCTCCGGACAATTTTTCCCTTGATGATGGTGTCATGTTTTTTGGAAAATCTTGATGGATTCTAGTGATTAAGCAATAAAAAATTCAGTTTCATCTTAATTTGAAGCTACATACTATTTGTGTTCCCTTGGTACATGTCAAATACATGGGTGGTTATGGTGCAAACTAGATATGCTCAAGTTACAGTTTATTTGGTTGGAGATTGGTTATAAATTAGAATTGAATCCATAATTTCGGTTCTCCATTCATTTTGACAAATTTGCCCATGATGATGGGTCATTATTTAATGATGATGCTGATGAATATTGATGATAGTAAAACATTATACGGTGAATTTTAAGTAAACGTAAAAATGCCAAGTGATTGGTTATTACATTATGAAATTAGCAATAGTATTTTTCTTCCAAATGAAGGGCATATATGAAGTCAACGACAACTTTTAAGTCGTGCATCATTCTATCAGATTTGGACAACTGAATATCGTCCTTTTTGGTTAACAAGTATTATCATATTGCAAGTCTTGCATAATACACATCCTTTTATCATTCTTTTAATAAATTTTTTAATTTTAGCGCTTATTAAATTCATTTTGATTATGTTATAAATAATATCAAAACGTGTATAAAGTTTGTTGAATATCAAAATATATATCTATAATAAATAATATTTGTTGAATATATATAATTGTAATTTATAATATACATAATTGTAATTTATATAATTCTTTATTAATATATTCTATTTTTTAGGTTATTTGTAATTAGTTAAGATCGATTTAAAATATTGTTTCATAATTTTCGGTAATCCCTTATTAAATGTATATCCTATATTCAAATTAAATTGATTTGTAATCTATTAAATCCCATAAAATCTGGAACAAAAATTTATCCAATAAAAATTCAACAACAATACTTTCAAAAAATCTCAGAGTATATTGTGAAGATATGATATTATGTGAATAAGTTTTTATATATAAATATACCTCAGAACGTGAAATCAATCATTTTGAAAATCCTCATTCGTCTTCTTTTTCTTTCAATTGCATCTGCGAATATTGTTTCGTCAAAGGTACATCAATCTGCTTCATAGAAGTTGTATTCCTCATTTCAGTTCAGACGTCAACTGCTTTTCATTTATACGCGCTCTTACTTCCTGCAAGATCTCCATATTCATATATCAGGTAAGTCTTTTTAGTTAATATTAGATTGGTTTCTGTATGGATTTATTGTTGAACATTGAAAGTCAATCGATTTAGTGCATCACCGTTCCATACTCATTTGCAACTAAATGTTGTAATGGAATTGAATTCCAATTCCAACCAAACTAAAGAAAAACATCGATCAAAAGGCATATTGAATAAGAAAATATTATGTACCTTGTAAAGTTCCATCAAGTTCTTAAAGCTCTAAGCTTTTGAATCTCTTCATCTGTTTGATATCAGCAAATACTGTAAAAAAGTGTTATCTCTTGTGAAACAGAAGTCACAAACTCAAATTTAATCAAAATATCTACATACTCAAAATGAATGTGTTACCTCTTTTAAATAGACATTCATTCCTAATAACTGTAACAAGCATGCTCGAATAGATGTTTAGGATCAGTAATCCATTTTAAATCATCACCACTTTTCGTATATCGAACGATTTTATCTTCATGGTTTCCATGGAGAACTAGGGTTTTCCCCCCTCATATCATCCGAACGCAAAATTGGTTCAAATTGGGGAAAGAACAAATGGAAATGGAATAAGCCCTAGGTTGGAAATGAGGATGATGATACGTGATTCACATCAGGTAAGGAATTTAGGGTTGCAGTGGAAGAAGGAGAGTCGGGGTTAGGATCGTCTAACCTCATCCTGACGGAGACTAATTCGGAGGAGGATAAGGCACTGTAGATGAAATCTTCGAGGTTCCGTTTCATGCGTTGTTGAACGCAATCGATGGTGGGTGAATCGAGGATAGTCATTGAGGTTTAACCGGCGACGACCGTCTATGGCCGGTTGGATTCCATGTAAACAAACACCCAAATACATAATATCTGTGAAACCAACTGGATTTTAGGCTCACTGATAGGATGACACACACAGAAAGAGAAAGATAGAGAGAGTGAGTGAGTGATGAAGAAGACGTCTGTAGAAAGAGAGTTGTTGGGAGAGTATTGCTTTCTTCACCCGATTTCTTTTTGCATATACAACACATGTTACGAGTTACAGTGCGTGTAGGTATCGACTCTTATTTGGATCCGACTCCGACCCATATTTAGCTTTGGATCTGATCCGACTCATGTTAACTTTAATATCTTTAATTAAATTCACTTTTACACAATATAAACAAATATAAAAATTCGATTATATATTATTTAAAAATTTAAAAACATTTCAATTGACTTATTTTTAAAAAAAATAATACATGACTAAATTAATATTTTCAAATTTACAATGGTTAAAAAAATTAAAAAAAATTATATAATCTTATTGTACCGTTTTTGCCAATACTTAACAAAAATACTTAAAAATACTACAAATTTACATTATACATATTTCTTCGCTATATAAATATTATATAAACTACTGATTTGCTATTTCTTAAATATTTTAATTTTTAAAGTAATCTCATTTATCTCTTAAGGTTGCAGACATACAATGCATTCCCTTCCTTCTAAAAAGACTACAAAATTAAATACTTCAACAACTACAGCGCTTAATACTTCAATGAACAAAGGTAACTTTTTAAATAAATTTACAATATTATTATTATTTCTTATTTTTTAACTAACATAAAATTTAATTAAATAAAATACACATGTATTAACATAAAAAAATAGATAAATTGTCAAGTTCTTCGTCCACTGCAAATCAATATTGTTCGAAATTGGTAATCGATGCTTACAAAGGTACGCTTATTTATTCAATTGTATTATATAATCATATTATTTACCTAATTTCACATTTCATATCCTATCATATGTGTTCTTATGCAGAAAACAACAATAACATGTACCACATGCAAGCCAGAGAGAAAAGAAGACAAAGAAAAATATATTTGGAAAATAAAAGATCGAAGAAAATAAAAACAACATCGAACGTTCCAAGTACATCAATACCGCATTTCTTAAATAATATATTTAACTATAACCCTATTATTATTTTATATTCTATGTTTTACTGTTACTTTGTTTTATACATATTTTTACAAGTTTTATAAGTTGTTGCTATTTGCAGATCGATCAACCAACATTGTTGGTCAAACTCAAAATGTCAATTCATTTACTTCACCAGGAATGCATAATACAACCATACAAAAATCTGATTCTTTTACAGATGTTAGAACTCTGTTATCTAACATTACAAATGTTAAAAATCCGTTATCTAACGTTAGAAACGGTAATTATTTATTGTTTTTAAAATATATTTTTATCCACTTTCTATATATATATATATATATATATATATATATATATATATATATATATATATATATATATATACTTATTATACTTTTTTTTGGTCAGATAACATCAGTTTCGATAAATATGCCACTTCCAAGTTACCAAACAGAAGACAGTACTATGTACTTTCAAATGAAATGACATCAAAAATTGCATCTACAGTAACCACTTCTTCATCATCAATCAAGTTAAATCCAAGATGTCATAAATTAAAAACGAAGACGAGACATTTATCCCCTATCCCATTGATTGATTTGACAGAAGATATAGAAAATATACATCAAGTGAACAATGAAAATCTTATAGTTGGTATCTCAAATGGTAATCAAAAAATAATATCCATTTTACATTTCAAATACTATGTTGTATATACTTATAAAATTCATTTATATTTATTCAACGCTTTTATTTTACAGAATATTTGGATCATGGTGATCAAGATGTTGTATGTCAAACATGTCATGCAAAGTTATGGAGAAATGAATCCATTAGAGGTAAAGAAATGGGGAACACCGATTATTCATTATGTTGTGGTTACGGGAAAGTTCAACTTCCAGATTTAAAGAAAGCACCCCCGACTTATGAAAGAATGTTCAGAAATATGGATTCTAAAAGCAAACACTTCATGAAAAACATTTGACGTTACAATTCAATGTTTTCTTTTACGTCGATGGGTGGTAAAATTGATTCTTCAATCAATAGAGGAAACGCTCCATACATTTTCAGATTGGGTGGTCAAAATTATCATAGTATTGGAAGTTTTTTACCAGCAAAAGGATCGGAACCAAAATTCTCTCAGTTATACATTTATGACACTGACAACGAAATTTCAAATTATGTATAAATTTATTTATTTTAGTGGGAAAAAGAATCAATCAACATCAATTGATAGTGATATTATTGAAGATATTAAGGTGATGTTGGATTCAAATAATGTCTTGGTTAGATCTTATAGGATGGTAGAGATACTTTTCTGAAAAATCCAGAAGTTGATATGAAATTACGACTTATCGGGAGAAGGGAGCAAGATGGAAGAACATATAACCTACCGACTACTTCTGAGGTTGCTGCTTTAATTATTGGTGACATTTCTGATTCAATCGAAAAGAGGGATATCGTCGTTCAAACAAAAAATGGTTCTCTACAACGTATCAGTGAATTGCATCCTTCGTACCTTCCTCTCCAATATCCATTGCTATTTCCATATGGGGATGATGGTTACAGTGTTGCCATTCTTCATAGAGGTGTGTCATTTACGACCGACAGCAAGCGTGCGAAATGTACAATGAGGGAATATTTCGCTTATAGGATTCAAGACAGAGATCATTCGTTCTCTCTCATACTTAATTCAAAAAGGTTGTTTCAACAGTTTATGGTTGATGCCTATACTGTGATGGAAACGGAGAGATTGTACTACATACGCAGGCAACAACATGTTCTTAGATGTGATTCTTATGAAAATTTACGTAACCAAAAAGCTCAAGGAACGACTGATATCTCCAATGTCGGCCAACGTGTCATATTACCTTCGTCCTTTACCGGTGGAGCACGCTATATGCTGCAAAACTATTTGGATGCCATGTCACTTTGTAAATGGTTTGGATATCCTGATTTCTTCATAACCTTTACGTGTAATCCCAAATGGCCTGAGATTAATAGGTTTCTTAAGGATACTTCACTTCAACCAGAAGACAGGCCTGATATACTATGTAGGTTGTACAAGATCAAGCTTGATGCATTCATTAAAGACTTAAGGGAGAATCAAATTTTCGGCAAAGTTCAAGCATGTAATTAAAACTATATTTTTTTTTAATTATTTATAAAACATTGCTCTTATTATTATATTTTAAATATGTTTTTAAAATCTAATCACATTTTATTTTTTTGGCAAATTCTTTTACAGATGTTTATACCATTGAATTTCAAAAAAGAGGTTTGCCGCATAGTCATATATGTCTATTCATGCATTCTGATAACAAGCTACCAACTGTTGAACTTATCAATCTGATAATTTCAGCCGAGATACCAGACAGAATTGAAGATCCTGAATTGTATTCACTTGTGAATAAGTTTATGATTCATGGTCCATGTGGAGCTGAAAATATGAATTGTCCATGCATGGTGGATAAAAAGTACTCTAAAAACTTTCCAAAACAATTCTGTAATCATTCGTCTGTTGATCAAAATGGTTTTCCGTTATATAGGCTAAGAAACGATGGTCATTTTGTAGAAAAATCAGGTGTAAGGTTGGATGATAGAAATGTTGTTCCATACAACAAATATCTATTGAAAAGATACCAGGCGCATATTAATATTGAATGGTGCAATCAGGGATCTTCTATAAAGTATTTGTTTAAATACATAAATAAGGGTCCTGATAGAGCTATAATTGTTGTTGTACCAACCAACAATGAATGTGAAAATAATGATGTGGTCGATGAAATAGCTGAATATTACGATTGTAGATATTTATCAGCATGTGAAGCATCATGGCGAATTTTTAAATATGATGTTCATTGCAGATATCCTTCTGTTGTCAGACTACCTTTTCATTTTCCTTATCAACAGCAGATTGTATATGACGAAGACGATGATATTGATGATGTTCTTGACAAACCTTCCGTTGCGGCTTCAAAGTTCACATCTTGGATGGAGTGTAATGCAATCGATAGTGAAGCACGAAAACTTACATATGTTGAATTTCCTACAAAGTTTGTTTGGCAATTAAATGGTCGGTTTTGGAAGCGAAGGAAAGTAGGAAAAGGCATCGGTAGAATTCATTCGGTTTCACCTAAACTAGGTGAAGCATATTTCTTACGGATTCTTATAAATAAAGTAAAAGGTCCAACATCATTTGATGAAATTCTCACGGTAAATGGTAAAACACATTCTTCTTTTAGAGATGCTTGTTATGCACTCGGGCTATTAGATGATGACAAGGAATACATTGATGTAATTAAAGAAGCAAGTCCTTCTGGATCTGGTTTTTATCTACGCTTCTTATTTGCTACATTGTTGATGTGTAATAATATGTCTAAACTAGAGGTTGTTTGGGAAAATACATGGGAATATTTGGCAGATGGAATTCTATATAACCAACGACAAAGATTTAAGTCTGCAGGTATTACATTTTTTTCTTATTTTTTATTTAAATTAATTTCTTTTTATTATTCAACACCCATTAAATAATTAGTAATAAAATTATTAAGTATCGACCATATATTTTATTAATTATTTAATCTTTTCGTGCAGAAATGTCACTCAGAGTAGATGAACTTAAGAACTTAACTTTGTATGAAATAGAACAAATTTTACTTCGAAACAACTCTACTCTCAAAAACTTCAAAAAGATGTCATACCCAGATGTTGAATCCATTTCTTCTTCAAACAATCGACTTATCACCGAGGAGCTAGATTACGACATTCCCGTTATAAAGAATGACTATGATCGTATGTTTCTTGCATTAACAAATGAGCAACGTAACATTTTCCTAAACATCATGAGTGCTATTCAAGAA